TCTCTCTCTCTCTCTCTCTCTCTCTCTCTCTCTCTCTCTCTCTCTCTCTCATCCTTGCTCCTCACAGTCCGTGCGAACTTAAGGGCTGCCATGAACCCCCGTTGTTTTGCAAAGCTTTTGGAATGAACGACAATAGCAACAGCTCAAGTTAGCACGCTTCGGAATATAAATTAAGTTCTAAATGTACGGCAGTAAACTTTGGGCCGAGTCGAATCTAAGAAGTTTCTGGATTGCTGCAATCCTACGGAAAACTATTTGCTCTCCGTGAGTCTTCTCTCTTAAGGATTTCGCAAGCGCATCTTTCATCGTTTGAAAATCAGAGAGCACATAATTTAATTCTCCCTTACAACTTTCACAAAAGAAGACACACACACACATATTTGCGTTTTCATGTTTGTTTGTATTTTAGAAACGTGTACGCGGCTCTATTTGACGTTCAACAATTTCCTCATTCGCCATTTTCATATTTCTACGTTTAGTTCGTATCTTATGTGTGTGCGCAATAATTATTATACGGTAACAAACAGGAACGGTAGTTTTAAGAATTGGTTTTGAAACAACCAGGGAATGATAATTATCATACAATAACAGATAGCGTCGATAGTTTTAAATAATTGGTTAAAAAAATGTGTGTGTGTGTGTGTGAAACGCAAATATACTTATATTTTCTTAAAACAAAAAACAAAAAATTATCTCCAACAACCACGACGTCCGGACATTATGTAAATGCATTTCTTGCCGTGACGCAAAGACGACCGTTCCTGCGATCTCATAAACAAAGTGGGAATTTTTTTGCAGTATCGCGGCGAGCTTGTATGTAAACCGAGCAAACTTTGGCCGCGGGCGGGAAAGTTTCGAGATTTTTATGGGTCTTGGTTGTAAGGAAAGCCTTTCCGTCCAACCCCCCCTGTTCTCGTTCCTTTCCCCGGCTGCGAGATCGTGCTTCAACGCGAAGCACGTGCGGAACTGCTACGACCGCGAAAGTTTGCGCGTAGGTAGTCCCTCACTGAACTTTAGCTAGCAGTCGTGATAATTACAGACGCGAGCATTACGGTTTTTATGATTTCGATCGCTAAAGTAAAGTTGCGCGCCGTCGCAAAAAGTGTCTCTGATTTAATGTCGCGAGCTAAGAAAAAAAAAAAAAAAACAAATGATTGACGACGATTCTCTTTTTTCGCGGAATAATTTATCTAAACTATTACGATTTGTGTGTAACACTTTTTGTGAATAATGTGCAGGTTCTGGTGAATTTCTCGGAAGAACTGGACGATGAGACGGTCGACATAACTGCTTTTGGTCAAGGCAGCAGGAACAGCATGCCCAACATGTACTCCAGCATGGATACAATTCACATGGACACATTTTGAGCTTGTGTCCTTTTTTTTTTAATTAGACTAAGCTTCCGTGGTGTCTTTTGCGAGGACGAGACGAAAATTTAGACGCGCGGAATTAACTCAAAGTCTTGCTCTCGGGTAAAAGCATCTCTCTTGTCTTCGCCGCGCTCTCTCTCTCTCTCTCTCTCTTTTTCTCTCTCTCTCTTTTTCTCTCTCTCTCTCTCTCTCTCTTTCTCGTGGCGCGCATTTTCGCATGGCGGTTACTGTGATAGTTTGCCTTTACGTTTAACGCCACGACGAAATGCGCGCGATTTTCTTGAGCTTAAGAACAGAACGAGCGCTTTGTGCAAATCTCGCATGGATTTTCCGAGAGAAGATTTCGATTTTTAGGAAGGGTTTATTTTCGCTTACGAGGAGAATGTAAATTATAAATATATATATATACAGGTTTGGATCAAAACATTCTCTTGGAAGAGAAATTTGTTTAACCACAATCCAATTACTTGTAAATATTGGTATTAATCTCGCGAGAATTTTAATTTAGCAACGATTTTAGAATTATTATTAGTGATAGTATTTTTAGCATAAATGCGGTGTTTTTTTTTTTTAGAGATATAGGGGTAAGAGATACAGTGATTGGCCACTTAAGGAAAACTGCGCTATATAGAGTAAATTATAAAATTTTAATAACTTGAAGTAAATCTTCAGTACTACTAGCTCAAACAAACTATAACAATCGCAAATAAACTAATAAATTTATTTGAAAATTTGAAAAATTGTTCAAAATTTGATAAAATATTTCCTATAGTCAAAATAGACAGTTATTGGCCATATGAGTTCTGTTAGTATCTGTTTACATAACAGTTATCATAATAAAGTTTTTATTTTGACTTATGAAAATATAGGAATGAATATTTTATTTATAACACATTAAAAACTAACAAACCTACTTACATTTGTATTTATAACTCAAAATAAGAGGCCAATGACTGTCATATGGTTTTCATAACCTTAAAAACAGTGATTGGCCAGTTGGTCAATGATTATCGTATAACAATAAAAAAGTTTTTGAGCTTCTTAAATACTATAATATTACTTTTATTCGGAGCAGAAAAACTTAATTAATATTAAAATGTTTATAATTTAGAATATAATGATAGTATTTTTTTATATTTATTACTTCTTTACTACATGGCCAATTACTGTTGGGAGGCCAACAACTGTACTGTTTACCCCTATATAAAAACTGATATATAAAAAGAATATTATTATTTAATCCAATCAAAATATTTTATACAATCAGTGTTTAATTACACAATGTATTATAAACATACTCAAGATAAGAAAAATTTGTTAGTTTTCTTCACGTTACCTTTTCCCTTTATTTTAAGCGTCAAACGCGCATTGCGTACACGTATAATAACAATAATATTGTCTATATAAGCGCCCAACACATATATCACATATTATCTATATCCGAAGGACAAAACGCGGCGCGCTTCGGATGTCGCTTCCGCTCATATTTTGCGAACGTTTCCGACATCCGTAGCAATTTCGCGAACAGAGGATTCTAACGGACGCGACGATACTTTTCCATCAATTTTCGCCGAAGGCGATTATCGACGAGCACATCTGACACATCCAAACCGACTAAATATCACCGATGACAACCGGATGTCGTGGGTATGTTGCCACCCCCCCGTACGCGGAACTTTTATTTGTCGCGCTCGATGACGTTTCGATTCATAGAAACGCGAAGATCGATGTTTACGCGTCAGAAATGGGCGCGAAACTAAAAAGAAACGCGACGCGATATAAAGCGCGAGACGGTGAAATTTATTGCTCTGGAAAACGTGGTCGGTGTATAATCGAGCACACACTAGAAGAGATGAAAATACTTTCGGAGACGAGATACATCATGTCTCAAGTTGTCTCGGCATTTCATGCACCAAGCTTCGTGCTCAAAGTGGATTTTTTTTTTTTTTTTTTTAAATTTCTTCAAGAATTCTTCCGGCTGATTTTTGCGTCGACTTTTTCCAATTCGGACAAATTACTTTATAAAGTGTTTTTTTCAAAAAAAAAAGCGAAAAAGAAGAGCGCGAGAAGCAGAACAGCCTCCTCTCCGCATGTAGTTTTTTCTTTATTTTTCTTCTTTCCGCGTTTCTTATCTCTACATCTCACGTTGCACCACTGTTCAACGCCGGTTGAATTCCAGCAGAACTTTCGCACCAAATGTACGTAGCTTCTACGTAATAAAGGACGAAATTCGTTGCGGATTACAGTGCGGAGGACGGTGTTGTGCCATCGTCCTTTTTGCGAGAAAAGACTTTCTTCCTCTCTTACGTACAGACAGCGTCGTAAAGACGCTGCCGAATTCCGATCGAAGTCAGCGGAAAACGTTTCAACTGCACCATAGAGATCGGACGAATAGTTGCGATCTCGAAATCGTGGGAACGCGCGCGCGCGCACAAACTACGCTTTCTACGCGAAAGTATATTTCGCTGATCGCGTCGAACAAACCGAAGCAGCGATTTTTCGCTCGAGAATCAAGTGAATTTGCTTGAAATAAAAAATCGAGAGTGCGGTTGTGGTAATATCGAAAAATTCAGATTTTTGCTTCGTATAAAAAAAAAAAAAAATAGAAAACAAAATAAAATAATAGAAAATATTTAATCAAAATACAAAATTTTCAATGCAAAAAGTATGGCGCAAAATGCTGCGTATTTTCTCTGTGTGTGTTAATTGTGCAATGTTTCGAGTTTTTATATTCGAATTAAAAAAACGTGATTTTTTTCACATAACTGTTATGAGAAAGAAGAGACGGAGCGCGCTCGAGAACGTTTCAACGTGCTCGCGGTTAGGAGAGGTGCATTAAAGGAAAAATTTCAGTCTCAACGTCTCTACGTGTCCGGAATGTCCAAACGGCTCGCGAACTGGTTGTGATCGGAAGGATGCAAGAAAAGAGATAAAGACCGAGATTAAATTGCCGTAATTCTGTCCGATACAGAACCGTGATACGTAACTTTTGTCCATTAGAACGGGATGCTGGTGACAAAAATACAAAGAGAAAACGAATTGCGGTCGATTGTTCTTTGACGAGAAGTTTTGTTTCTTGACAGCGAAAATCCTAATATCTGGATTCACGACAAGCACACGCCGACGTTACGCGGTAAAAAGGAGTAAACGGAAATGTGTAGAAAAATTGTGCGCGCGCGCGCGCGTGCGTTTCCCGCGAATCGATTCTCGCGAGTCGCTATATTTTCAAGCGGATATCTCATAAATCAGAGCGCGACGGAGATCAAAGATAAAACTTCTCGCGCTTCTAGAATAAGCTGTTGCCGATAAATTCGGAGCTTTCCGGCCCGGCCGCGAATTGTCGAGAGAAAGAGACTTATTTTGCGCGAAACTATTACCCTATTACGCGTTGAGTCGGGTTAGCGAAAGATCGATGTTGTAACAAAGCGTTCTAATATACTTTATGTGTTATATGTATATACAATTTCGCGATTATCCAGCATCCAATATGAATTTAAGAATTGATATTCAATTCAAAAAAAACTCGCGCGTAAAAATTTACACGCGAACAAATATATATATGTATATATACAGGGTGTCCCAGAATTGCCGTACAATTTCTCGTAGGCAGGTAGAAGGAGTGAAATTGAGTCGAAAAGTCCTGAACCATTTTTTTCTATTATTTATAATAAAAGAGTAATTATTGAGTAAATCAGGCTAATCAGCGCAGACCTTTAGCCAGGCACACGTCAGTGAGCGCTCACACACACCAGGCGCGCGGCTCACTAACGTGCGCCTGGCTAAAGGTCTGCGCTGATTGGCCTGATTTACTCAATAATTACTCCTTTATTATAAATAATAAAAAAAAATGGTTCAGGACTTTTCAACTCAGTATTATTCCTTCTACCTGCCCACGAGAGATTGTACGGCAATTCTGGGACACCCTGTATATACACAGTTTTCCGCACAACATCCTGCGATCGGCTCGTATGACCGTAAATATATTAGGTCTACCGGAAAGTTCTGTCCGTTTTTGGAATAAAACAAAATACATAAATTTTTCTTACCGTCAATAAACTTTATTAAATAATATAATTGCCATTATTATTAATGATTTCTTGCCAGCGTGAGGGCAATTTGTATATCCCATTTTTCAAAAATTAAGAAAAATTTGTATTTTGTTTTATTCCAAAAACGGAAACAGAACTTTCCGGTAGACCTAATATTTCGTAGTTTAGTAACGTATCGAGCTTTAATAAGATTTAATTGTTATTATTTCGCGATTAATTCTTTTTCCTCTTTTCCTCTTTTGTCTCTCGTCCCGAGCGACTGAGAAAATTTTTTTTCATGGGTTTTTCGAGAAAGAAAGTTTCTAAGCGAATTTTCTTCGAGCAAAAGTTTTGCTTATGTCCAGCGAGAGAGTGTAACTGTGTACTTATATTGATTTGCCGCGTGTTGTATTTGTTCTCCGGGCTTCTCTTTCAGAGAGACTCTGTTTTGCTGTCATTAAATTTTCTCGTTTTGCTCGCACGATCTCCGGTTCGCTCGCTAAGCCACTTAAAACACATCGGCGTAATGACGGAATGAATTTAGCTTAACGAAGGCGCGTTGACGTTCTCTCACGTGCGGGACCAAAAGGCTTTGCCTGGGATACGCGGCGATTACCGTACGTGTGTGTCATCCTCCTCGCCCTTCCATGAAGGGAGGGTGACGGGAACGGCTAGAGAGACGAGCGAATTAAGAGGCCGAATACGTTCCGGCAGCTTCGGATAAACTTGGAAACAACTGCTGTCATTTGCAGATGCGCGCGACTACAATGTCGGCGGGATATGCACGCTTGCTTGGGCGATGAGACACGGCGAAAAGCGAGGAAAGGAACGCGCAAGCATTGTATCCGCGAAACGGTTTGCAACCGGTGTGTGTGTGTGTGTGCAGACGTACCAAAGATCTTTCTTTGTGAAACGCGCGCAAGATGCTGACTGCGAGACCGCGAGCGTTTAGCGCGCCACGGCGCTTAAACACCGTCTGTTACTAACGTTGTTTCCGGTT